GGGAGATGGGACCTGACCCAAGCCGGCGGGAGAGGAGAGGAGAGCTGACCCAGGCCAGTGTGGCCACAGCTTTGAAGCTGTCAGTGTTTCTGGAGCCCTTGCTGTGTAGCAGGCGGAAGGGCTGGGGTTGCACAGGTGAATAAGATAAACCGTTGCCCTCAGGTGCAGCACGCCAGTGGGGAGAAAGATAGGAGGACAGAGCCTCCCAGCCTCAGACTTAGTTTGCTGTTGCTTAGCTCTTGCCACGCAAGCATGCAGAAGAGACCTTATATACCAGGGTCAGGTACAAGAGAGACAATGTTTTCCATTTAAAATTTGACCTATTTTGTTTTTTTTTGTAAGGATTATGGTGACATTTGGAGCAGATGCTTTTTTCATCGTTTAAGTAGTATCCTCAGGATAGGGTATCTCATTTGACACTGTGTTCCAAATGTTTGGTTAAGTCTCCTGGTTTTACTCCCTTCTCAAATTAATTGTGGTCAGTAACCAAGTCAGTGAAAGATAACTTTGTTCATATCCATTTATTACATTGTAAAAAACGTTTGCACGAATCAGTAAAATGCGCTGCTTATGATTAATTTATATTTTACTAGGTTTAGGTGAAGCATTATGTAAGCTAAAATTATATATTTAAATGACTTACAAAATTTTTTAAATTGTATGCAATCTGTGTAGCTTTTTCCACAAACAGCCCTACCCCATTTGCTAGTGCTGTTTCCAACAGACGTCAGCGCCAAGAAAACATTTAACAATGTAGATGGATTATTCCAGCCCTGCTGTCACATGACCCCTTTGCCCATCTCAGTGGTTTGGAGTGAGTTACGTGTGCGCGCTTTGATTTGTCTTTTAGTCTGGAGTATATGAAAAAAATTCACATTTTCATCTGAATCTCTTGAGACTTCTGATGTGTTTGTGCCTGGTTTTATGCAACAGTTCATTCCTATGTCCTGCAGGATATCTATGACCTGAAGGACCAGATTCAGGATGTAGAAGGGAGATACATGCAGGGGCTTAAAGAGCTAAAGGTATCAGGGCCTATTCTGCAGCCCGGCATGCTCTCTGTGCACAGAAGTGTCAGTAATGGTGGTTTCACGGGTCTCTCCACCCCACTGCACGTGGCTTTACTAACGGTGTTTGTCTTGCAAGCATGTGCTTAACTTGCCGTGCACAGGAAAGACGAACTTTCCCTCTCCGCTTAGGGTTAAATGTCTAGTATCCATCCTGGACCATTCAGCAAAAGGCATTATACCTTACCGTTTTTAAACCTTGTAACATACTGCATGTCCCTTGTGTCTTATCCATGCCAAACTGAATTGGACAAACTCCTATAAAAGTATTTCAAGAATATTTTTATTGAGATTTGACCTTAGAATCCTTCCAAGCTAAACGAAAAAGTATCGCCTACTTCTGACACCAGATTCAGTCAGTACTAAAAGCAGGAGACGGAAACAGCTCAGAGAGCATTAGTATAAATGTCCCCTCTGCAGGGAGGCTCAGGAAGGCATGGCACCTTGTTTTCCTTTTCTTTAGATTTTTTTACCTGTAGATCAAAAAAGATTCTACAGATCCAGTGCCTTAAAGAATTTGGAGGCAAATTTAAGTGGACAGTGACTCTTCCCAGCAAACCCGTTTTCAGAACAAGTGTCCTTCTGAGGCGGGTGTGTTGGTTGTAAGCGACACTTGGTTATCTTGCTCTTTTCCCATGTTTTATTACGAGGTTCAAACCTAGTATTATGCGGAAACCAAAGTTTTCTCTAAACACGTGCATGTCCCTATTTGAATTTGAAATATGCGCCAGTCCTATAAAAAGGTGAAAGCAAGGTATTCAGAACGGTGACTCAGGGTACACTAAAAGAACAAAGCATGGACCTCATGGGCAAGGCCTCCATCAGCCTCCCTGGCGTGATGTGAAGTAGCCCAGCTACCAGGCGGATCCTTCACACAGGTGGCTGTGGTCCATAAGGAGCTCTCAGTTAAAGATCAGGACCAAGAAGGTTGAGAGGTCCTGTGGGGAGTGACTGCTGATGTGCGGCCTGAGGTTGGCAGTAAATGTCGGAAGAATTACAGAGTTAGTATGCTGATGTTGCTCGTTCAGTCTTGTTGCTCTGATCTTCAGGATTAATCCCCTCTGTAAGGCTTGGGGCCCTGGTGGCACAGTGGTTAAGTGTTTGGCTGCTAACCAAAAGGTTGGCAGTTCAGATCCACCAGCTGCTCCTTGGAAACCCTGTGGGGCAGTTCTGCTCTGTCCTATAGGGTCATTATGAGTTGGAATCGACTTGATGGCAGCGGGTTTGGTTTTTGGTTTTTATTTAGCAGAAGATTACATTCCGTAAATTTCCTTGCACCCAATACTTGAACTATCTTGGATTCAGGTTTGCATGCAGTTATGCTCCATGGACTGAGCTGTGACGAGGACTTCTTAGGCTGTTAGCCCTCAGGTGAATCAGAATAACTCTAAATTCTCCATTATATTAAGATACTGCTATATTTAGACTATCATACAATTGACCTTGCTTGGATTCTTTACTTTGGTTGTAATTGTTCCCAGTCCTGGTATAAACATTGCCTGTTAACACAATTCTGGCTTGTTAAGCATTTTTGGAAGTATATATATTTGTATATATGTATATTTTTAACAGCTTTATTGACATATAAGACACGTACCGTACAATTCACCCATTTAAAGTGTACTGTTAACTCAGTACTGAAGTCACTCCTGAAATTCACCTTTCAGCCAAAGATGAGACAGGCCTATAAAATACACATTAACAATGGTAGTTCAACGATGTATACAAGGCTAAATGGGCACACCAGCCCAAAGGCAAAGATGAGAACGCAGGAAGGGACCAGAAAACTGGACAAATGGAAATGGGGAACCCAAGGTCAAGAAGGAGAGAGTGTTGATACATTGCGGGGTTTGCAACCAATGTCACAAAACAATGTGTGTATAAATCATGTAGTGAGAAACTAATTTTCTCTGCAAACTTTGACCTAAAGCACAATTAAAAAAAGTTTTAAAAACAAAACAAACAAAAAAATAAAGTGTACAGTTCAGTGGTTTTTAGCATAGTCACTGAATTATGCAGCTGTCACCACAATACAATTTTAGAACATTTTCATCATCCCAGAAAGAAACCTGGGCCCATTAGCAGTCATTCTCCATTCTTCCCCTCCCCCAACTCTCGCTGTCACCACTGGGCAGCCATTAATCTACTTTCTTGCCTCTGTGGACTTGCCTATTTTGGACATTCATATAAATGGAATCATATAATATGTGTCCTTTCGTGATTGGTTTCTTTCACGTAGCATAATGGTTTCAAGATTTATCCACGTTGTAGCATGTATCCGTATTTTTTGTCTTTCTTCTTATGGCTGGATAATATTCCATTGTATGGATATACCACATTTTGTTTATTCATTTGTCAGTTGGTGGACATTTGGGTTGTTTCCACTTTTTCGCTGTTATGAATAATGCTGCTGTGAACTTTTGTGTACAAGTTTTTTGTGTGGACATATGTTTCCATTTTTCTTGGGTAAATATTTGGGAGTAGAATTGTTAGGTTATATTGCAATGCTATGTTTAACATTTTGAGGAACTGCCAGACTGTTT